TCATAGCTGCACAGGGCCGGGGGCGCGCACAGGCCCAGCACGTGGACGGCATGGGGCTGGCCAGATGTGGGGCGAATCTGCTCACCCGGGACCGAGGCCTGAGGGCTGCAGAGACACGGGGCCCCAGGAGGTCATCCAGGCTGGCGTCACTGACCCCACAGGTCCCGGCCTTCTGCTGCAGGTGCTGGGCCTGGTACAGGGCATGCCGCCCTGTCTCGCCGGCCCCATCCAGCGGCTCGATCAGGTGGACGGCTGAGCCTGCCCGGAAGAAGCCCCTGAAGGGACGGTGGGCTTCAGGTGAGCCCGTCCCCTGCCCATCCGGAGGGGAGACACCGAGATGGAGGCTCCCGTCTGGCGCCCACAGCTCCCCCTTGCCCTGGGACCAGTACCTCCCACTCCACCGCAGGAAATGCCTCTGCGCAGCCCCAGGCTTCAGGAGAGAAGAGGCCGGGTCTGCCTCTGGCCTCTGGCCCTCCCTCGGCCTCCACCTGCCGCTCTGCAGGGCGGGAAGCGTGGGCCCCAGGTGCGGCTGCAGCATGTACCTGAGGCCCGCACAGGTGCTGAGGCTGGCAGCCGAGCGCGGGTGCCCCTCCACGTGGCCCTGGTAGAAGCAGTGGTCCTGCGGGAAGAGCGTGAGAGGGGTCCCCGGCCCCGCCCTCCCCACCCCCTGGCCCTGGGGGACCTGCTGGCCATACCTGCACGGGCAGCTGCTCTGTCACCTCAGAGCCGTTGCTGGCCGTGTAGGTCTCCGTGTAGCTGGAGCCCAGAAGTTCCCTGGAAAAGAACCGTCAGCGCTGTCAGTCCCCCTCGCCACAAGGGCCGGTGCCTCCGCAGGGGGACCCAGGAAGCAGGAGCCAGCGCTGCCAGGCTCCGCAGGGCAGGACGATCGCAGGCCCGAGCTCCCGGCTCACCTGTTCTTCCGCAGGTGCAGGGTGAAGCTGTGCCCCGGGGCCCCCAGCACATAACTCACGCTCTCCGGGTACAGGCCCTGAGCCAGGAGGGAAGGGTGCAGGGTGAGGGGCCCCCTCGGGCCACGCCTGTCTCAATTCGGAGGCAGAGCTGGGGGGCAGGGGCAGCGGTGCCCATCCTCTGGGAGGGGCCCGGAAGCACACTGGGCTCCTTAGCCCTCCAGGCCTCAGTTTCCTCATCTGTCCACATGAGGGTAATAATGAGGCCCCTTCCCCCAGGAAGCAGGGGCAGGGGTGGACGCAGCCCCAGCCAGGCAGCCACTGAAGCCAGGACAGCAGAGACCCAGTAGGGCCCCAGCGCCAGCCGCCCTGCCCCCAGGCCCCGCCCCCAGCAGGCTGTGGCGACCTGGCCCCCCTGTACCAGGACTCAAGGCTGCCGGCCCGTCTGGACAGCGTGCACTGTGCCCACCGGGGAGATGCCAGCCCAGGGCAGGAGGTGGGTCTGGGAGCTGCGGGGGAAGGGGTGCCTGGACACCCGGGAAAGGACAAGCCCCCCTTTCTGGATGCACGCACACGCGTGCATGCAGCACACACATGAGACAGTCTCAGCCCCCTGCCCCGGGGAATCCCGCCAGACCCACACGCCCAGGAAGGTGTGTCAACCTGCGGTGAGCTGTTCCCCACTCAAAGAGGAACTGGCTTCCCGGCCCCTGCCAACTGAAGCCGGGGAGTGGCCTGGGGCCTGCGCCAGCTACCCCTGCCCCTTTCCTGGGGCCCAGGGTCTTGGAAGGGACACAGGTGGCAAGCACCCAGAGCCCCCCTGCCTGCAGGGTGAGGCGGGCGGAAGGGCGGGAGGGAGGAGGTGCCACCAGCGGCACCTGAAGCAGAGACAGGCCCAAGGTGGCCGCGAGCCTCTAGGGTCTGCTCTCCAGCCCAGGGCTCTGCAGGGCAGCACCCACTGCCCCCCACCCGGCCCCCCACAGCTGCCTGGGAGGCAGAAATGGGGAGCTAAAGTCCCTGTCACAGAAACAGGCTCTGAGTGGTCAGCCAGGGACCCCAGGCCAGCTCAGACTTACCGTGTGGGAGGGCAGGGCTCGGCGGGCTCGGGGTCCTGGCAGGCGCCGGGGAAGCACCACCTCGAACTGCTCCACGCCAGGCAAGGCGCAGCTGAGGGCCAAGCCTGCGGGGAGGGGGCAGCGCTCACACAGGGGCTTCTGCCCGGGGAGGCTCGGGCCGGGCTCTGCCCTCCTCTGGGGGAACGGTCCACCAGCTCAGGAACCAGCAAGTCCCCAGTGTGGCCCCCACAGCCCACCTGAGGGTTCTGTGCCCAAAGACCACTGGACGCAGCACCAGCTGGCCGGGTGGAGCTTGGCCTGGCAGCCCCCACACAGGGCCCCGGCACCCTGCCCACACCAGCCTTTCCAGGGGCCCCCAGGCTGCTCCCAGACCCCCCAGGGGGACGCACAGTGGCCCAGGGCAGGGGTGCCCTGCACAGCGTGTAGAGCTGACCTTTCCAGCTCATCTAATCACATGATTGCAGCTAACCGGGGACCAGGGGGCTCCCCCAGGCCGTCTGCTCCAAGGCCTGGAAACTCCCTGGTCTCCAACATCACAGGGCAGGTCCAGAGTTTCAGAGACCACCTACGCCGAAGCACTCACGGACGTGTCTCCTCTGCCATTACCTCGCTGACCGCCAGAGAGAGCTGGAAGCACCCACGGCCTCCAGCCTGTCCCAGGACGCTCCCAGCAGCAAGGCAGGTCCAGGGGCCAGCAGCCCACCCGGCCCTCAACCAGGCAGGAGATGGGTGCCGCGTGGCCAGGCCAGCCCTTGTGCCCATCCTTGCCTCCAGACCACTGCCCCTGTCCCCTCTTCCCAGTCTGGCTGGAGGAACCCACGGGGTGGGCCATGCCCCTGTGGCCTCACAGGCGGATCCCGGAGCCCAGGATGCAGGCGGAGCAGCCCTGTGGCCCTCGGCACCCAACAAGCTCAGAGGAGCCCAGTTCACCCTTGAAGATTCCCTCTGGTCGCCTGCCCTTGGCCTCTCCCAGTGATCACCTGTGCGCCTCCCACCGCCTCCCCCAAGGACCAACCCGCAGCAGGGCCAGGGTGGAGGGAGCAGGGAGGCCAGGTGACCAGCCGTCCTGCTCCAAGAGCCACCCCGCACCTCGCTTGGGTGAGTGGCTCCCGGGAACCCCCGCCGGAGCCACGCAGCCCCGGCCACTCACCCTGCAGCCAGAGCGCACCGAGTAGCCAGAGCCCTGGGCCGCGCATGGTCAGGCGCCAGCGGAGCACAGGGCAGGGCGTGCGGAGGGAGGGCTGGGCACGGGACACTGTCTGGTCCCTGCCGCTCCCACCGGCAGCAGTTCCTCCCCAAAGCGAATGGGCTCCGCCCTGTCCCGTCCCGCCCCTTCTGTGCGTCCCAGGCCCCGAGCACAGCCTGCCCAGCCGCGTCCCCTCCCACCTGCCTCCTCGGTCTCCCTGCGTCTCCTCTGGTCCCCTGTGGACTCTGGGCGGTCTCCCCGCGTCCAGCATGGGGCAAAAGCTTCATCAATGTGGACAGAGTTAAGGGGCAGGGGGAGGGAACAGGCCAGCCGGGACGGCTCCTTACAACTCTCCATTTGCCTTGTAAAGGTGAGGAAACTGAGGCGCAGCTGTCCCAGTCCCGGCCAGAGCTCTGGAGGGGCAGCCCAGGTCCGGTGGGAAGAAGGCACCCGCCAGGCCTTGGGGGGACTGACTTGTGGACAGCTGGGGGTGTCAGGGGGTGGGGCCCCTCTGCCTTCCCGGAGACCAGGAAACTCCATGCAGGCACAAAAGTGGCTTCCTGGACACAGGGGCAGCTGAGGGAGGGATTCTGCCAGGCTCCCGCCTCGCTGGGCAGGGGCGAGGCACGGCCACATCGGGGGAGGTTCCAGCCCAGGTGGCCGGGCTGTGGAGGCTATTCCCAGCCTGCTCTGGGGTCCTGATGGCCCCTCCCCAGACAGTCAACCCTCGGCCCTGTCCTGCAGCATGTGCCTATCCCAGCACCAGATCCTTTCCCGAGGACCCCGGGGTTTTTTGGGGAGGCTTCTTTCTTGTTTTGGGGGGGGACAGGTGGCAGTGTCCCTCCCTCTGGCGGCTCTGTCTGGGGCCCTGAGCGGTGGAGGTCAGGCCAGTCGGGCAGAGGACAGAGGGCCCTATGCTGGAGGCCAGTGTTCCCCAGCCCACGGGTGTGGCTTTTGCACAACGCGGAGACCGTGGGGATTCGGTTGCAGATCAGTGTGTTACTGAGGCCAAGCCTGCTCGCTTGCGCTGCAGACGGGAGAGGAGGCTGCCCGGCTGGAGGGCCAGGCACTGTCCCCGCAAGGCAAGCCACGGGGCAGAGAGACCTGTCCACCTGGGGCCCCCAGAGCGCGGGTTTAAGACTGGATTCTGATGACAAGCAGGGGATTCGGCAGGGGCAGCCTGGCCGGGAGAACCACCAGGACAGTCCACCGGGGCTGGCTCTGCTGTCCACTTGGAGGCAGGAGAGGGCGGTGACCGCCTGTGGGGCACGGGTGTGGCGCAACCAGCCGTCGCTGAGTAACTTCTGTTCGGGAGGCAGTGCCCAGCAGGCAGAGTGGGCCAGTGAGCTGGGGGCGGGGCCAGGGGCCAGGGACACCTGGGTCACAGCTGCTCTGCGGTGTGTTCCACGGAGGTCTGGTGCTTGCCCGCACGCCAGGGGCCCATCTGTGGCCTCCTTCCCTCGACCAAGCCACAGGAGAGGCTCGGCACTGGCCAGCCTCCACTGGAAGAACTGCTGTCCCCGTGCAGAGCAACAGCCCGGACCATGGTGTCCCTGCCAGCTTTCAGAGACTCTCCTGGGTCCCCGGACCCCAGGGAGCCCAGCCCCAGCTCAAGTGGGGCGGATGTGGCCGCCAGGCCAGTGTCACCCCACAACGCCTTCGTGGTCACCTCGCTTTTCCTCAAATACGCGTGTTTTCACTTTGTCTTTACTTAAGGCCAAGAACACCCCAAACGGTGACAGTTCAATTTGAAAAAGCTAACGAATCGGCAACACTCGCTCTGTCTGGGCAGCTTCTGTAAAATGAAACACGCTAAGTCGATAATTTGGACTTTATGTTTAAACACAAAAAACACACAGAACACACGTGTGTGTTCTATTTGACTGGAAAATCCTGGACTTGCTCAAACCGCAGCACCTGCCGCCCCCCACACCCTCCCTCCGAGCCGTGGCCTGCAGCTCACTGCGCAGTGACCGCAACCCTGGGCACTGCGACAGGCGGCCCCCGTGGGACGGGCACTTGGGGGGTGGCCTTCTGGCTCCTCTCTGCAGACAAGCGCTCCAGGCGCTCCGTGTAGAAGCCGTTGAAGTCGAGCCTGTGTGGAAGGAAAGGGGGCGGGGTCCGTCCTGGAGGAGATGCCACAGGAGCACACGCAGGTCCCTTGGGTGGCCGTGCTGGGTCCCCCCCAGCACCCAGGGAAAGGACCAGCGACAGAGACCACAGCAAAGCCCCTCCCAGCAGGGTGCACCCGCTCTGCTCTCCTGCTCCCCACGACCTTCGCGGCTTCTAAGCAACATCAAAACTGGAACTTGGCAACACACACGAAAGCTAAAAGCCAGACGACCAACGCCTCTAACTGACGTCTCACAGAGCATCCCCAGCCGAGCACCGGCCGTGGGGTGGGGACGTGGACTTCTCTCCCAGCCCTTGACGCTGGGGCTCCCTAGGCCCCCAGTAGCACCTGGCGCCAGGGCCTGGGCCACCCAGTGGCACTTCTCAAGGCAGGGTGGCCTCGGAAACGCACTCAGGAAATCGGGACGTCCGTGGGGAGGGGCACCTTCCCAAGGTTGGCACAAGGACGGTGCCCCTTCCTGGCTGGAAGCTGAGGCGCCTTTCCTCACCCCCATGAGTGATGAGCAAACCCACCGCCCCGCCCGCCCCTCTTCCTCCCCGGCTCTGGTGTGGCAGCGTGGCTGAGCGAGGCTGGCCCAGCCCTGCCCCAGGATCATACACAACGTGGGGGTGCTGATGGGTGGCCCAAGCTGCCTGGCAGCCCGGTGTGCAGAATGTCACGCCCTGGGAGGGCTGGGCAGCCTGACACACATGTGCATACACACGTGCACATGCTAGCCAGTACCCGCACCCACATTCACCCACACCCGCACCCCCTAACCTCAACCTCACGGGACAAGGGTGACCAGCGGTAGCACCAGAGATAAAGCCGGACACGCACTTACCTGGGGCAGACCCCTCACCCTCCTGAGGTCCCACCTGGGGCCAGACCCAAGGGACGGGGGCTTCGTGGGGCTAGGGGTTGGCCAAGGGAGGGGTGGGGCTCAGGACCGCGGCAAGGTGAAGAGGAGACAAGGTGGGAGGCGGCCGCGACGCCCACCTGGAGATGACGCTGGCCATGCCGTGCTCACAGTCGCTGGTGCTGTAGATGCTCAGCCGGGCCAGGAGGTCAAGCAGGTGGGCAGAGAAGTTCTGGTCAAACTTGTTGATGGTGGCCTCGAAGCTGGATGCCAGCTGGGGAGCGTCCACGTGCTCGGCCAGGTACTGGAAGCAAAGCGGGGAGCGCGTGAGCCAGCATTGCCGCCTGCAGTGAGCCTCCTGCACAGCACTGGTCCCAAGCTCTAGTTTCCGCGTCCTCCCTTTTTTCTCAAATAGGAGAAACAGGTTCCGTGTGATACAAGGTAAAAACTCGGTGTCACAAGACGTTCCTGAGACTGTGGCACATGGACAGACGCCCCAAGCAAGGGGCACAGCTGCCACCCGTGCACTGGAGGTTCCTCTGGGCCTTGTGGGGGGACGGGTCCAGGCTCGGCCCCCCGGTGCACCTTGAGCTTTCCTGCTACAGGTCAGGGGTCTCCTGGCTGCTTCCCGCAAGAGGGCTGAGCCGTCTCTCATGTCCCAGCTCCCGTGGGAGCACGGGGAGCCCCCAAGCCGCCCTGGCTCACGCCAAGCTGGAGCTGGCTCCTGCAGGGCCCAGAGGACACGCGGCTTGCCAGTGCCAGCTCAGGAAAGGCTCTCGTCGGAGGCAGCAGGGCTGTGGCCCCTGGGCCCACTGGGCCTCTGTCCTCTATGGGGTGCCCCAGGCTCACTGCACGACGCCCATCCCACAGACCACCGCGGTCGCACCCTAGAGCCCGCCAGGCTGAAGTTAGGACCAGAGTTGAGCAGGAAGGTTCTTGCAGTTGGAACCCAGTTTTAAGTCTTTTTCTCAAAGGGAGACAGAACAAAAGGGCAGCGGAAGGTTTCCTAAGTGTGCAATGTTAACACGGCTGCACCCAACCACACAAAGAGGCACTCTCGGGCCACGCACCTTCCTGGCGAGCTCCTTCCGGGCCCGTTCCTCGGCCCACTCAGCCCCTGCGGGTGGCCCCAGCAGCGTGCCCTGCTCTGGTGTCGGCCGGCCCGGCTCGCCGTCCAACTTCATGCTCTGTGTGAATTTCTAGGGGTGGGAGGTCGTACAGAGGTGCTTCCGTTAGTTGCAACCACCATGATTTGCGGAAAACACCGGAGTCCTCGCAGGTGCACACTCCCCGCCGCGCACCTGGTGCTGTCTCCGCGGCTTAGGGGACCCGCTAGCACATCTCTGGAGGCTACCGGTGAAGTGACTTTAGTTGTGCCGACAGAGTCCCCAGGTCCACCTTCCACAGCTATCAACTAACTTTCCAGCTCCTCCCCCACCTCTTCCGCTGGCCCTCGTCCCAGCCCCTCGACGGCGCTGCCTGCGGAGCGCGCACCTCAGATCCTGCCTTCGAGCCCCAGTAACCCCCAGGCCATCCCTTCGCCACTGGACACTCGTTTTCTCCGCCGCCGTCTGGGGCAACTGCCTGTAACAAGTGCCCAGACGCTGAGTTGAGCTGAGGAGCTCCAGTCCCAGGGAAAACACAACAGCCAGGACAGGGACCAGCACCATGGACCGCGCCCTGCATCGCAGATGGAGTGGAGGAACGCAGCAGAGCCAGGTGTCGCTGCCCACACTGCCAGGGTGGGGCTCAAGGGAGGGACCACCAGGCCAGGAAGACCCAGGAGTTCTGGAAACACTCAGGTAACACTGGGCTCGACAAAACTCAAGGGCAGGGGAAGGTGTGGCTCAGGGCTGCTGTAGCACTGGCTTGGGTACTCACACCTGCCATCACCTGCCTGCACCTGTCCTCATCTGCCATCATCTGCCTGCACCTGTCGTCACCTGTCTACATCTGTCCTCACCTGCCTGCACCTGTCTCACCTGTCCATACCCGTTCTCATCTGCCTCCACCTGTCTCACCTCCCTGTACCTGTCCACACCTTCCTGCACCTGTCTGTACCTGTCCATACCTTCTTGTACCTGTCTGTACCTGTCCACACCTGCACCTGCCTCACCTGCCTGTACCCGTCCACACCTTCCTGCACCTGTCTGTACCTGTCCGCACCTGCACCTGCCTCACCTGCCTGTACCTGTCCTCACCTTCCTGCACCTGTCTGTACCTGTCCGCACCTGCACCTGCCTCACCTGCCTGTACCTGTCTCACTTGCCTGCACTTGTCCACATCTGCCTGCACCTGTGCGCACCTGCATGCAGTTGGTGAACATGACGCACACAGACATGAGCTTGGAGAAGACCTTCAGCAGCTCGGGGTTGGTGAGCATGCAGTCCTTCAGGCAGTTGTCCAGGAAGCTCGTGTGATGGCCAAGGACGTCATCGATGTTGGAAGCCTGCAAGGAAAAGGCTGAGGCTGACGGCGGCACTGAGCCTTTTCTCTCAGAAAGACACTGTGTGCGTGGCACTCGGTCTTGTCTTGTACGCTTGTGCTTACGAGGTCCCATCTTTTAAATGGGCCTCTGGTCATTCAGGGGGACACTTCAGAATATCATTGAAAAAAAACAACACCAAGCCTGCCCTCAAAGATCCAAGTTTTTAGTTCTTAGAAAACAAGAAGGAAATACAGCCACTTGCTAGTTTTGGAATTTGGTGGTAACTGAGGTTCTGGCGCAGGTCCCATGGGCCTCGGCAGCATCGGGGCTACCCGGCTGCTAAGTGCTCAGAGCTCCTGGAGGGGATGGCGCCCACGGGGCGTCCACACGTCTGGACAGCCGATTCTGTGCAATGTGGCCGATGGGAGGAGGTCCCCCACTTCTGCTGCCCTCTCTTTCCCTCTCTCTGCCTCTCTCACACCGATCGTGTGGGAAGAAACCCAAGTCGGCATGCAGAACAGGGCTCTTTCCTCCAGCACTGGCCAAGGCACCCCGTAACTTCTCCCTCTGCAGAGGAGGATGCGGGGCGTGGAGCTGCAGGGAGGGGTCGCTGCAGCTCTCCCCACCGAACCAGAACTTGGTGCTCCTAAGACCACTTTGTGAAACACACCCTGCCTTTTAGATGTTACGATCTACTGAGCTCAAACTCACGGATTTCAGGTTTTTCTCAAGGATGTGCCAGGTTGGTTCCATCACCTCGAACATCATGTAGTACTGAATGTTCTGAACAAAGTTGAGCATTCGTTGCCGCAGAGTAAAGGCCCCGGCAAACCTGAGTGACACAAACGACAGTCACAGAAAACATAACATCAGGCCAAGACCTCGACGGCGTCGAGTGGGCTAGAACGGCGTCCTCTAGAGCATGGGCACCTCCTCTGAGTGTAGTGGACTCTCGTGACTGCTGCTCCCATGAGCCAACGGTGGCTCAGACACAGACGTGAACAACACTAACAGAGGCGTCCTCGGCACAGGGTGTGGTGACTGGCACGGGGGCCCAGGGACACCAGCTCCCAGCTCCGGCAGCACTGGGCGAGTGTCCTGCCTGACACGACTCACTGTCTTCGTCTCCCTGTGCCCTGCAGGGACATCACCAACCAGCCCAGCCATGGAGACTGGCAGCGACACCACAAGGCAGATTCTCATTTTGTGCTTTACTGTTGAGACACAGGCTGTCCTCAGCCCTCCCTTCAAACGCCACCTGGTGCACAGGCTAGCGCGCAGAGCACCTGTGGGGCAGGTGCAGCAGCTGCCAGCACGACATGCTCCACACGCTCCCAGCCCCCGAGGGGCTGTGTCCTACAGACAGACCCGGGCGATCTCCAGGCCTGCGCCATCGCCCAGGCTGTGGACAGGCTGAGGGACAGGGCAGGTCCCCTGTGGGGTGGACAGTGGTGTCACGCTGCCCTTTGACGTGAAAACTGACACATCATGTATCTAAAAGCCATAAACGTGCGTTTTCAAATCACTGTTTTCAAAGGCTAAGAAGCACGAACATCCTACGTGAGCGCGAGAGGGCGGAGGGAGCACGCACCACTTGGCGGAGTGCAGCGAGTGCTGCTTGGCGGCCTTGTTGCTGATCCAGACGCTGCAGAGCTGCCGCTCCACGTGCTTGCAGTAAAACATGTGCCTGAAGAGCATCTGGTAGCGGGTGAGGGCTTTCCTGCAAGGGGAAGGAAGGCACACGGCTCTCAGATAGCGACCGCCACCGCCGGCACCAGATGTCGCAATCGACACGGCGTCCACACGCTCCACGCCCCGTGGCCCTGGACAGCTGAGGATCCCCTCTGGGCACAAGAGGCCTGGGAGAGCCGCGCAGGCCCAGGGCAGGGTGAGGCCGCCTCTGCAGGGCACAGCTCTGAGCGAGTACCTAGGAGACGCCTCCGTGGGGCTGGCCGCTCACCTGTTGATGATGAGTGACAGGGGCCACTTGACGATGTAGTCGAAGGAGAAGGCCTCCAGGCCGCTCAGCGTGAGCTCGGTAGGGTCGGCGTGGGTCATCGCCTTCTCCTGCTTGGTCTCGATGGCCAGAACTCGCAGCAGCTGAGTGATGAGGTCATGAGGCATCAGGTCAATCTGGGGAAAAAGAAATAAAACGAAGCATCCAATTTTTAGAGGAAAAGGCCAAAAGTCAAGTCCTGATCCCCAGGCGATGGGAAAGCGAGTCAGTCCCGAGGTGAGTCTCTCTGAATTCTGCTTCTAGATACTGGGGGCTTGCGTGAAGAAAAGCCAAGCATCGATGGGTAAACCCTAGTTCAAAACTAAGCCACTTGCCATTAAAACAGAGAAGGGAAAACACAGACGAGTTGCTCCCTGTTAATAAACACCAAGCTGCTGCGGACGGCACGGACAAGAAACCACACGACAGACAGATAAACCTGAATCCCCAAGATCGAAACCTTTTTGTCAGGGTAGGCACAGGCCCAGGCTGAAGAGTGAAGCCCGTCCGACGGACGGCGTGGCTGGGCAGGCAAGTCACACGCTCCCCACATCACTCTCGACTTAGCAAGTGTCAGCCACACGCCGCGGGCCGTGTGACAGAGCTCCTCCAAGTCCACGCGAGATCATGTGACAGAAAATAAAGACACGAACGAAGATGAAAGACGAAGAAACAAACGGCTAACAAAGAGACAAAAACGCTCACCTAACAGAAACGAAAATCTGAACACATTCTTCCTGCCCACCAGGTAACAAAGATGTGTGCAGACAGCACCCGCTGTGGCCCAGGGTCCTGAGACCAGACCCCAGTGAGATCAGTCCGGTCGTGCGGGGGCCGAATGCTTTGACCCAATAATTTCACGACTAGAAATTCATCCTATACAAATACTCTTGGCACCTAACAACAGACCCCAGAACATACGAAGCGAGAACAGGCAGAGTTACGAGGAGAAACACAACTGTACAACAGCAGCGGAGACTCTCAGGAGCGGACGGAGCCACCGACAGGAGGTCGGGAAGGAAGGAGAGGACCCAGTGACGTGGCACAGCGACCTCACAACCCGGCACTGCCCACAACTCTCCTCAGGGGCACACGGAACATTCTCTGGCATACACCTGAGGCCACAAAACAAGCCAATAACTTTTACAAAACTGAAGTCATACAGAGCATGTTCTCTGACCACAAGATGAAGTCAAAAATAAGCGAAAGGAGGAAAACCAGACAATTAACAAACGCGTGTAAATCAAGCACAACCAACCAATGGATCCGAGAACTCACAAGGGAATTAGAAAACACACCGAGACAACGGAAATGAAAACACAACACACCAAAACTTAGGGGTGCCCTGCAAGCCCTGCTCCGAGGGAACTTTACCCCTATAAACGCTTCTATGAAAAAAGAAGAAAGATCTCAAATCCGTACTCTAACTTTACAACTTAAGAAACTAGAAGGAGAAGAGCAAACTAAACGCAAAGCTATCAGACAGAAGGAAATAACACAGATTAGAGATGAATATGACAGAACAGAAAAATAGCAAAAAATCAAAGAGAACCAAAATGTGGTTCTTTGAAAAGATCAACGAAATTGACAAATTTTTAGCTACACTGACTAGGAAAAGACAAAAATTAGAAACAAAATCCGGAACATTACCACGCACCTTACAGAAATAACAAGGATTACAAAAGAATACGATGTTTCCAGCCCACAAACTGGACAATCCAGACCAGAGCTGTGGAAACACAGACACAGGCTGCTCCGGGACACGAACCTCCAAGAAGATCGGCCTGGGACTGAGGGCTTCACGGGCGGGTCTTGCCCAACAGTCCAGAGAGGAACGAGCACTTGAAGCCCTCCCCAAAACTGAAGAGGGCCGTTCCCAGACGCGTTCCACGAACCAGCCTCACCCCACACCACAGCCCGGCAAGGACCCTGCGGCGCCTCAGACCCGCGTCCCGTGTGCGTGCAGACGCAGAGCCTCACAACCCTGGCAAGCTGAGCTCAGCAGCTCGCTGACGGGCAGGGAGGAGCCAGCCCCACACGACCCGACACGGCTGCGGCCAGCACGGGACAGGGCCGCTCCCCACAGCCCGTCTCCCACGCCCTTCTTGGCGCCCACCCCCAGCAGCACAGCGCAGGCCCGGAGCCCGCGCCACCCACCTTGAGGTCGTCTTTGAAGGGGTCCGTGTTGGCGGTGCTCATGCGCAGCGCCAGCTCCAACAGGGCCTCCAGGCGGGGGGGCGCAATGTCCTCCACTGGCTTCCGGAGCTCCTCCTCGGTGAGGTCCATGAAGTGCACAAAGAAGTCCCCCTGGTCCATCAGGAAGTAGCGCTTGATGGACCTGCGCCGTGGAGGCGGTGGTGAGCACCCCGCCGGCACTTCGCCGCAGCCACAGAAAGACGTGTGATGTGGCCACGTGTCAGGTGAGGCGGTGGGCAGGGACGGGTGGGGAGCTGGGCCCCAGACCCTGCCCCGCACAGGTGCAGTGTAGACTGGAGACAGCCCGGCAGCAGGCCCACTTCTCCAGAGACGGGACCCTTGGGAGTGACCCCCACCCTCAGCCCCGCACCCTGCAGGCCCCGTCCTCCCCAGGAAGGAGTGTGCAGAGAACCACCTCAGGTGGGCCACCAGCTCCTCCTCCTCCATCAGGAAGTCCAGCAGCACCTTGCTGGCGTAGTCGAACGCCTTCTCGATTTGCTCCACATACGCCCGCTCCTTCAGCGTGTAGATAATCTCTTTAGCCACCGGGCAGGTGACGTGGTGACCACACTCTCTGACCACATTGAGATACTTTCCTGAAGAGACAAAGGAAAGCGGAGTAGAAACTGTCACATGCGCAGTAAATCTCAGGCCTGAAGCCTCAGCTGTCTCCCTCCAAACGCCAGGGAGTGGACTGGAATCTGCTCTGCACACTCAGGTTCCCAGGAGAGAGACACAACTGACAGCTACCAAGGACGGGGCCGCGGTGAACTGCTGCAGCTCTTCCTACAGGCAAATTTCTAACCCAGAGCACAGAAGCAATTTCCAAAAGGCCGATGACAATCAGACCATAACCACCTTCCAGCCCCTTCCGCAGGGTCCCTGCATCCCTCTCTGGCATGAGGCCAGGCCCTGACCCGTGTGGTGGTGACTAAAACTGCCACCGGCCCAGCAGGCCTGTGTCCTTCATGGTTTCTCCCACAGTGCTGATGAGATTTTTAGGAATTAAAAAGTAAAAATAAGAGAGAAGCCACCCGTGAGACGGCCTCCTGGGGTCAGAGACGAAGCGGAGGTGGCCAGCGAGGCCAGGAGCTGCCTGGAGACCAGCAGCGCGGGAGCAGGCGACCTCCACAGTCCAGCTCGGCACCACTCGCGGCCAGCAGAGGCCGTCTGGAGCCTCGGCCCACAGGTGGCAGCACACGAGGCTCAGGGCGCCCCACCCCGCGCCCGCACCTGTGCTCAGGATCTTGCCGGCCACCTTCTGCAGGAAGGACGGGATCTGCGGCTGCACCACGGTGTAGCGCTGGTCCCAGTACTTGTCGTTGTAGTCCTCCTGGATCTTCTCCTTGCGCAGCTCGTGCTCCTCGACCATGAACTCGCTGAGGACCAGGGGGCACGTCAGCAGGAGCGGCGGCCAACACACACCCTGACTTTCTAGTCACCCCCCCACTGGGAGTGAGCATCAGCCTGCAAACCCCACTCTGGGCGGGGCACTTAACCTGGGATGCGGGGACCTTAGGGGGCAACAGAGCTGGACGGAAAACAAATCTGCCTTTATTTCCATCCACCTGAGTGGACCCAGCATTTCCTGCCATTGCGAACACAGGCAGCCACCGACGCTCGGACCCCATCACCAGCAGACACCAGACACCTCCCGTGGCCACTCACGGGACGCCAGCGAGTGTGACGCTGCGCCCACACGCGGCCCGTCACACCAGGTTTCATAATTTGGACCATTAGTAAAGAAATACGTACTTCTACATCACAGATTTGTCTTTTAAAATGTTTACACGAATGCCTGTCAGTACAATAGGACTCTCTGTGAGCTGATGCATTTTGTTTTATGCCCTTAATAACCCTGAGGAGAAGCCACGGGCCTCCCAGGCCAGGAAGTCCACGCACCAAGGAGGCGCCTGACTTGAAGCGACTTTAACATCCTTGACACGCAGAACAAGCCACACGGAGGCAGCACGGACGGACCTCCCCACCCCCACTGCACACGGCCACCTGTAAGTGCCTCCCACCCCTCACGGGGGGCAGCACGAGGGTCCCACCTGTACGGGTCGTGGATGACGCCCCTGTATATCCACTTCTCCAGAACCTCAAAGTAGGGTGCGCTGGCCGCCTTGGTCAGGTGCAGGCACAGCTCCTGCGCCTGGGTGTCCCCCGTGCAGCTGACGCTCCTGTCGTGCAGCAGGCTCAGCGTGGACCCACCCAGGCACTCACTTTTGTCCACTGCGGCGGCTACGGGGAAGAGGGGGGCTCACTGCCAAGAAGGAGGCCCCATGCTCCTGCCCGGCTCAAGCCAAGACTGGAGCCTCTCAGTTAGTTTCCGGCTTTCTTACCGGGACACGTGCTTCTTTTTTGGGATATGCTCAAACTGTACAGTTGTAGTTGCTAATTAAAGCTTATCAATAAAAGCTTCTAAAGCTTTCCTCCTCAGATTAGTAAAACACGAAGCAACGTGGGCTTTGGCCTCACGATCTGGTATCCGGAAGTAAGAACGGAGGGGCTGGAACCCTGCTCCAGCCTCATCCTCACACCCGCCCTGCTGTCCTGAGCCCACCACCTGCTGTGCTCTCCCGCCAGGCCGGCGCGTACCGAGGGAGGCCAGGATGTCCACGGTGCGCATGGCCGGCTGGATGTAGAACCAGAGCTTCTGCAGCGACAGGAGGCCCTGCCTGTGCAGCTGCTCCAGCTGGGTGACCAGGATCAGGTACTCCTTCACCAGGGTTCTCATGGCGGCCGCCAGGGCGTGGTTCACCTGCCCATACTCGAAGGAGGACTTCTCTTCAATGAACCTATGAGGAAAGATATGTCAAACATCTTTAAAAAGGCAAAAGCTGCATTTCCAGATAAAACGTCAGATATTCTGCATCCCATCCTGAAACAGGAAGCGGGTGACTCATGCGAGCCTCTCATCCCAGAGAGGAACCTTGGCCACCGAGTGGTGACTCACAGCCCCCTCAGACGTGTCAGGAACAAAGCTGAGTAATAACCAAGGCAGGGACTTTCTTCAGAAGGGGGTGCCAACGTCTACCGTCATCGGGACGCGCTCCCAGGGGCTGGTGCCCACCTGGTCACGGTGGAGTAGCTGGCCGCCACCGGCAGGATCCTGCTCACTAGCTCTCTGATGGACAGGTCCAGGTTGGGGTCCACGAGGAAGGTCCGGCTCTGCCTCCCAGCCAGGGGCTGGGCGGTGATGTACCTGCCATCCACACCCACCAGCACGTAGAGCAGGTCCTCCACCATGGCCGCCTCCTGGGAGGCCAGGGGCAGCGTGCCTGCGGGACACAGATGGTGCTGGGCTCTGCACGGCGCCCACGCCCACCGACCCCCGTGGCCCCGGGGATCTCATCTGCTCATCAGTCACACTCTCACTCGCTCCCTTCTTTGTAACTCCCTCAAGTATCTGTGGGAGTAAAAGTAAGTTGTCGCACTTGGCTTCAAGTGATCTCACTGGGGAACCAGAGGCTGAGATTCCAAAGCTGCCAGGACAGGTCCAGGCCCAGGAGGCGTGATGGCCCTGGAGAGCAGGGGTCTCACTGCACACCGCGGTCCGCTACACTCGAATGAATGCAACCGGTAAGGAGATAAAGTCAGGAGTTCAAGAAGGACTTCCAGGCCTGGATCCTAGCACTCTGGAAGGCGGAGGTGGGAGGATCGCTTGAGCCCAGGCCTGAGCAAGAGCGAGACTCAGTCTCTACTAAACATAGAAAAATAAGCCAGGTGTCAAGGCACGCGCCTGTAGTCCCAGCTACTTGGGAGGCTGAGGCAGGAGGCTCACTTAAGCCCAGGAGTTTGAGGTTGCTGTGAGCTATGATGGTGCCACGGCACTCCACCCAGGGCGACAGAGCAAGACCCTGCCTCCAAAAAAAAGCAAAAACACTTCAGACGTTAGTTGGACTTAGAGCATTTTTAATTACAAACTTGGTAAGTATGGGTCACTCTGAGACAAAACGAGGTTTCCTTTAAAAAGCTAAAAAAGCTATCACTTACGTGTTAAGAAACTGACAACTTCTATCACACACAGTGTGGGACGGCTGTAGGATGCAGTGTGGTTTCCTCGTCACCACCTGACGCACCCTGGAGGCTGGCCGGGGGCCATCTGCTGAGGTGGCCCACCATACCCCTACATCCAGGTGGCCTTGGCTGTCAGAGCTCACCCCTGCCCTAGACTGGAAACGAGCTGAGAGGAAGGGGCACCAGGGGAGGGGGACGGCAGGTCCAGGATGGGGGGAGGCAGCAGAAACTGTCCCCACGTGAGCGATGGCAGGTTGGGGCACGCATGTTGGCCAGGCCACAGCCACACCCAAACCTGAGCTGAGGCCTGGCACCCGGGAAGGTGCCACACGCACCCCGGCAGTTTCCAAAATCCCTCTGTTGCCCTCACACATCTGCTGGGAGGAAGCGTCCTGTGACCGCTAGACTCGAAGCTACTGGCGCAGCTGTGACGAGTCCCGGGCACAAGCCGCTCCTGTAACTACGCCGCATGGAGCCTCACACGCCACAGTAAAGCAGACTGCCCTCCACACTTCCTCCTGACTTTGGACCACCAATGATGGGGCAAAACGCTGCAGGTACTCTATGTCCTTAACTTGCAAAGTCTCGTTTTTCAATCCAAAAAGGTACTTATGAATTACGACATGCGGCCCACAGCGTACAGAGGACACATCCCAGATCCCAACCACCTGTCCTGAAAGGACCACGTGGTCTCATCTGCATTTTGTCTACAAGACACACGACTTTGAAGAGGCCTCGGAGAGCACTGCTGTGGCAGGATCTGTAGGATTACAAATCGCTGTTCAGAGCAAAGTTCCCCATGGGACTGACACCCTCAGGTCTGCACCAGGGCACCGAAAGCACGGTTCGGAGGTGCCAGCTGCAGCCCACCCCGGTTCTGGCAGGAGGGTGGGAGAAGAGTCTGCTGAGGACCCTGGTGAGCCGCATGTGCAGCTACACAGGGCTGGGAGAGGGGTGGATGGCAGCAGGCGGAACTGTTACGACCTGGGGGAGGGCTGGCCGTGCCCATGCTTTGCTGTGGGGCTCCCGCCAGGGCGGCACCACACAAGCACAGGTGTCGTGTAATTGCCGGGGAGCTAGAAATAAACACACCACGTACCTATAGGCAAAGCCGTGTCGGGGCTTACACCCGAGCCAATCAGGAAATCCCCGACCAGCGCAGGTCTCTCATACACCCACGCTGGGAAGACAGGGAGGTGCTGGCCTGAATTTTTTTTGTTCTGCTTGTCTCGAAGCATCTTTCTTGTAAGTTCCAGAGACTAACGAGGATATTTTTTAAAACAAAAACAGAAGAGTATCAACTACAAAAAACAATGGTGATCTAGCACCTCTCGTATTATCCTGGGTAGAGACTGAGCCCATCCTTCAAAGGGAGGTATCACAAGGGTGGAAACACACGCACCACATGTACCCGCCATCAGACTGGTGCTAGCTGAGCAACACTAAGGCGCTCACACGGCAGTAATACTGGGTGCCAGTCAGGGGGTAAACCCACACTAATGGAAGCGGAATGCACTGTATGGGGGAAGGACAGGCTTGTGGCCCTGGCTTGGGCAGGGCAAACAGCATTACATGTGACCAAAATGTTAGTACCCCCATAATATGCTGAATGAAAAAAACAAACCAAAAAAACCAGAAGGGTATGCTTCAGTGCAAATGCTAAAATAAAATACGCTTCTATGCGCCTGTCACAATGTGAGGGGCTGGGGAAGGAGAGAGACAGGGAGACCCAACCCCTCTTCCCAGGGGTCTCGGGCGGGTGCAGGGCCCACAGGTAAATCCCGGGCACAAGCAGTGGGGAACTGTGAGGGAAGAGGGTGCATCTCCACACAGAGCAGGGGTTTCAGACCAGGACACACCATGAAGAATCTGAATCTTTTTTTCCTGGTGGGAACTAGGTCTAAACGTGACTTGCTGGGTGAAGCCCAGACGTGCCCCTCGCCCTGCAGAAGGGCCTCCGGCACAGACCTGGGAGGCAGCGCAAAGGCAGCTGGCAGCCGGCACGTGACCCAGCACTCGCCCTCCAGACGCACTGGCCATGAGAGGCTGATCGGGCCAGGCTGGACTGGCGCAGCTTTTGGAAGGACCAAGTCCCAGTCAGGGTGGTCAGTGCTAGGAGCAGGTGCGAACCAACTCTGCATTAGCGACGAGCCTCGGTTTCCTCACGTGTCACGTGGGAAAAGTGGTGTGAGGGCTGTGATGTGGGCAGAGGTTCCCCATCACGTCCGGCACACAGACATGCCCCACCAGCATCGGCTGTGTCCATGTTAGAGCTGCCGCACCGGACATGGGCACGCCAGGCGCCCTCACAAGGTCGCGGCTCTGAGGAGGGGTTGGAAGGTCACAACGGCTGGGGTGTGGCAGCTACAGGAGGGCCTTGGAGATGACTCACATCAAAAAATGAAAGAACAGCAATAAGTGTAGAAGGAAGAAAACAACCTTGAAAATATAATAATGTAGAAAGTATGATCTCAAAAATAGTCAAAAATTACAGGAGGGAAATGGGCAGTCATTTGTGTTGGCTCAGATCCCGTAACTACCTTGAGACAGCTGAGTCTCGCTCCCCAGCTAAGCCAGAACCTCCTGCCACTACTTAGCTCCTCTTGTCCAGAATAGTGGCGCTCAAAATTCTTGGCTAAAAAAAATTGCCCATAAAGAGCTAGGTCACAGGTGTTAAGCCTCAGCCTCTCTAAATTCAGATTCGTTTTTAGTAAATGACAGACAGACATGGCCATCCAGCAGCAAGCGTGAGTGCCGATGGACAGCCATGGATGCAGTACCTGCTGCAACGTGGACCCCGTGGCCACGCTGCCGAGCTGCTTCCTCAGCTCCTCGAGCTCCTGCATGGAGATCTTGGAGGCCGCAGTGGGGACGCTGAAGCTGGCGGTGTTGCCCACAGTGGCTGTGAGCTCAGCTCTTTCTTTTGCATTCTGTTGTAAATACTGTAGAGTCTGAAAATTGCAAAACTATTCGTTCATCCTAGGCTGGTATGTTTGTGTACCTGGCCAGGTAAAGTAAGCCCCCCTTTTTTCTTTTCTAACTCTAACCACCACACGAGGGAGTGAAAGGGGGCTCCCTATTGGCTTGTTAGCTATGGTTGGTCTCTGCATGCTTCATGCCACGTGGAAGCACCTGCCACGTCTCCAAAACACAAGCAGAAGGGACTCCTATAGCCTTTGAAAGTCAATCCGCATTCTGCTGCCAGAAGCAAGCTTTCCTCCGCGTTGCACCTAAGGCTCCCTGACTGCGCGGACCATGTCCCCTTATCTGTCCCTAGCACTGGTGGTCCAGAAGTACCCAATTGCACCCATTACCTCTAACAGGAGAGTGGAGACCTAACACATCACCGGCCAGCTACCCAGCCTCAACGTGTAATTTTCTTGATATCAAAGTAACGTGTGACAGGCAGAAACTCAGCAGACGCTCGCTGGAAAGTCACACTGCCCTAAGCTGGAGGTACCCACTGTGACACTTCCCACGTTCACCTGCATCAGGAGTTACTTCTCCTCCTGATCCACCAAAGAATGTGCACCGAACGGCCTCAAAGTGTGACTGGTGTGAGGCCGGGAAGAGCCCACGAGTGATGCAGTCAGAGCGGCAGGTGGACGTTCAACACATGTGCGAGGCGTGTCTCAGCTCCACAACACATGCCTAATTAGGGACATGTGCCGTGCACCTTCCACAGACACTGAGAGAACGTTCTTTTGTGACACCCCCAAGGCAGGTGAAGGGCGAGGGCTGGTACAAGCACTTACCTCTTTGTCCTCTGTGAGCTTTGACAACAGGTACACAAGCGGGTCGAGGTTCCTTGTATTTTTAGATTTCAGTTCATCGTATTTCTTTAGAAAGTCTTCTGGAGTACGAGAAAACTCTGCAATTTTAACCTCAAAAGCACAAACGTGAGTAATTTAATGATAATAATTTATCCAGCACTTAGAAACAATCTTCAAGAAAATTAAACAGAAAGCCAAAATAGAGTTAAGTTACGTAGTCTAAATGATCATGTGTTTCTAAAATAAACCAAGAAAATTCACCTAAACATTTTGTTAAACCTACCCATATTTTCTTGTATGGCTTCTCTCTTATAATATTTAAGCTTTAGGTTAGATGACAGCCAACTCACATTTCTTCCTAGCAGTTTGCACGTGCATTTATACATTTAACTCCACTCCCTCTGGAATCTATCACTGCGTACAGGCTCAGGGGTTGTTATGCTCAATGGTTTACAATGCTCCCTTTATTTATTGGTATTTACCAAATACAACCGTATGTGTCCCTGAACTCCCTATGACACTCAAGTAATCTAATCACCCTTCTGCCATTGCGAGCTATTTAAATAACTGATGCTGCTTAATATGTATGTATTTATTTTTGAGACAGGTTCTTGCTCTGTCACCCAGGCTGGAGTGCACTAGTATGATGACAGCTCACTGCAGCCTCACACTCCTGGGCTCAAGTTTATTCTCCTGCCTCAGCCTTCTGAGTAACTGGGACTACAGGTGTGCAACACCACACCTGCCTGATCTTAAAAAAATTTATTTTTATAAACTGGGTCTTGCTATGTTGCCCAGACTGGTCTTGAATTCCTGGCCTCATGCGATCCTCCTGCCTTGGCCTCCCAAAGTGCTGCGATTACAGGTGTGAGCCTCTGCATCCAGCCCATACTGTGTTTCAAAATAGATTTCAAATTCAAAGTCATCTTTTACAATAAAAGATCTATGATTTTGAATTATATTCTTCTTAACTACAGAAATAATACTCAAAAGGGATTTCAAAGTGGTTAATCCCAGTAGCTTCCCTTTGTATCCACAGGAATGCCTGTGTGTCATGAACCTCTCTTCCTGTGGGCCATGGAGGGGATGTGTCAGAGCCAGGGCCCAAAGCCTAGCTCTCGCCCTTGGAGGAGCCACCAGAATCACAGCAGAGCACGAACCTCCCTGAGAATCACAGCCGAGTGCACACCACCACCTCCACCATCACCTCCTCCTCCACCTCCACCACCACCTCCACCTCCACCTCCACCACC